CTATTAATTCACCTTCCATGTTCTGCACATTTTCTGTGTGTCTGCCTCCTTCTCTCTGTTCTTCTCTCCTCTTCTTCAGATCATGAATCCCCCAGAGTCGCCTGTCCTTGTGAGGAAGGTGCTCCCACCTCCCTTTCCCCCAGCCCCTCGTTGCCCTCCTATTGTACAAGAACATAAGCGACCGTCCGCTGTACAGCCTCCTCTTGTTCCTATACCACCACCACCACCACCACCCCCACCCCCACCACCCCCTCCTCCACCACCTTCTCCCCCCCCACAACCTAAGCACTTCCACCAACCAGTTCCCGCTCCACCTCGGCAGATCATAAAAGCTTCACATCCACCACCGGCCCTAATTCAAGAACCTCCTGCCCCTAAGTCAGAGCCCCCTCCTCCTGTTCTTAAAACCACAACAAGGCCTCCACCTGTGGAGCCAGTGGCACCAGTTGCACCCAAAGTGCTGGTGTCTGTAGGCTGCCAAACAGAGTATGACCCAGTCTTCCCTCCTATGCAGGCATGAACCCCTGTCTCTTATCCATTCTGTTTTTCACACTTATAAATAGACTGTGAATATTATTTTATCTTAGTAACATCAAACTTGGATATTGCATAAACATCTTGTCACATCAACACAAATAATTTTTTTCATGATTGAATCGTTTCAGATTATGGCCCAAGGTAAGGGCGGGGTTCCTGGTGGGCCCCCTACACAGGTCAACAAGCTGGACAACATGCTCGGTAGTCTGCAGTCTGACCTCAACAAATTGGGCGTGCAGACAGTAGCTAAAGGAGTTTGCGGTGCCTGCTGTAAACCAATCGTAGGACAGGTGAGAGGCTTTCACGAGGCAAATCTATCTACAGTATAAATATGTGATATTTTAAAGAGTTTGCAGACTAAATGCAGTCAACTCTTCTGGCTGTCTAAGGTGGTAACTGCCATGGGCCGCACATGGCACCCTGAACACTTTGTGTGCACTCACTGTCAAGAGGAGATCGGCTCCAGGAACTTCTTTGAGCGTGATGGACAGCCTTACTGTGAGACGGATTACCATAACCTGTTCTCCCCACGCTGCTACTACTGCAACGGGCCCATACTGGATGTGAGTCACTGCTGACTCCATTTGTGATCGTTGAGTTGAGGTTTACGGTCGGCCTGCTGCAATAAATGTTGTTATGTCTGTTCAGAAAGTTGTGACGGCGCTGGACAGGACATGGCATCCGGAACACTTCTTCTGTGCTCAGTGTGGATCCTTCTTTGGCCCAGAAGGTGATTTCTTCATTACCTTGTCTTTTATTATCACTGGAAACTGTTCTCTCCATAATTGTCACATTCAAGTAATCATTTGTTTTCATGGATTGTATAAAATCAGTTGTTTCTGTTTATCGTGTGAAGGTTTTCATGAAAAGGATGGAAAAGCCTTCTGCAGGAAGGATTACTTTGACATGTTTGCACCGAAATGTGGAGGCTGTGCCCGAGCCATTCTGGAGAATTACATCTCAGCACTGAACAGCCTCTGGCATCCTGAGTGTTTTGTGTGCAGGGTCAGTATCATGAATTTTTATGAACTCTGTCACACTGGTGACTTTTATTTAGTGCATAGACATAAAGATAGACGACCATCTTCACTTTCTCCCACTGAACAAAAAAACTAATCCTGAATATGGTTTCGGACATTTTGCATTTTTGATGCGTTTTAGGGCTCGAGTCTACACAGTGATCATGGTGTGGTGGTTTTTCTAGCTTCAAATTGCTAAATTTACAAACTTATCACAAATTAGCACTTAAACATGCATCAGTTTGATAAGAACAAAAAATCTAAACCATCTTTGGGAAAATTTTACTTGACGTGTACTGAGATTTTTTTGTTTGGTCTGTGTCCTATCTCACATGGAACTGGCAAGGTTTGACCTATACTATAGTCAGCCACCAGGGGACAATCTTTGCATGTACCTGAGACTCACCTGAGATTAACTGTGAATGGCGAGTAGCTCGACTGAGTCAACAACCTGGTTCTGTGTCCGCAGGAGTGCTTCACCCCGTTTGTAAATGGAAGCTTCTTTGAGCATGACGGTCAGCCCTACTGTGAAGTGCACTACCACGAGCGCCGCGGCTCCCTCTGCTCCGGCTGTCAGAAGCCCATCACTGGCCGCTGCATCACAGCCATGGCCAAGAAGTTCCACCCGGAGCACTTTGTCTGCGCCTTCTGCTTGAAACAGCTCAACAAAGGCACCTTCAAAGAACAAAATGACAAACCCTACTGCCATGGCTGCTTCGTCAAGCTGTTCAGTTAGAGCATGTCACTTTAACCACACGTGGGTCAGGGCTCAGAAAGTGTCAAAAGCATCTTTAGCACAGGTGGGGTGAGAATGGATTGTATTTGTGTCAAAGAAAGAAAAGTGGTCTGTTTTCTAAAGGTTGATTTGGAGGTGTGTAGGGGTTTGAGTATGTGAATGAGGTAGACGCAGTGACTCTGCCAGACTAAAATACTTTTTACATGTCCTTCAGAAAAGTGGGTTTCTAGACAGTCAGAGAGCAACTTTAGAATCATTTGTGGGATTTGAGTTGGTCAAACAGTCTTGGTGTGATGCTCAATATTTAAAGGACGCTGACAGTGAAAGTGAGATGAGGAGAGTTTTTCAAATCAACACTGATGTTTCAAATCAACAAATCTTTCTCCTCAGATGTGTTGGACATTTTCTACAGGCAAAGAGCTGTCGTTCTTATATTTCTCTCACATCATCTTGTTTTCAAGTCTTTTTAATGTTGTTTTTTCTTTTTAGAAGGTGGTGAAAATCTTACTGAACACTGTAGAAATCCATGGAATACTCTGCGTGTTTGACATTGTTGCTCACTGGTTGAGTGTGTCATTTTAGATACCATAAAGAAGAAAAACTGTAAACTATAGCACGGAACAGGTGACGTGTTGTTTTTAGCCTTACAACATAACCCTTTTCAATTTACAAAAGCTTTTAGATGATTTTTTTTTCATGAAACCTTGAGAAATGGATAAAAAATGGGCTGAGTCCACTTTCACAATTTTCATTTGTGTGCAAGTGATTGTAGTGTCATTACACTCACTCTGCCTAGGAAAACATTATATGAATGATATTTTTCTTCTAAATGAATCAAAACGTGAGAATTGGTCAGTTTAGGTTTATAACACCAGAATCTCAAACACTCACACACACATGCTTTTAGCCAAAGGAAAATAATGTATGGATGAATATGATCCAGTGAAGTGAGTCCGTTTGTAGCCTTCCACCTTTAGCTGCAGTATTTCACTTTCTCCATCACATGTTTAAATAAACCTCATGTTTTTGTGCTGCCAAATCATTCCTTATTTGTTGTCCACTGAAGAAAAAAAAAATAGAAAACGGTTTCAGTCGCCTCTTACAACGAAGTGGAATCTCACAAATTTGTTGGGAGAACATTGTGAACATCTTTTACCGTTGCTGTTTCTGAGAAGATCCTGAGATTTTTTTGATGTAAATATCCAATGCAGCTACTTTGTAAGTGAAGCGCTGGGATGCTTAGCGTGTTACACGTGTGTGATAACCACTCGTCTGAAGAGGCTGGTGAGAGAGCAGAGCAGAGACACATTCAGGTGTTGTTACTGTATTGAGAAGCTGATGAATGTTCATTGTTTTTGAAATGAGTAGTTTATAATGCAAGGAAATCTTCAAAGGTGTCTGTGATACTCCAGTAACTTTGTATTTCAGCGCGTGTCTGTGCCGTTGTATCAGCACCAACAGCACTACGTCTAATGACACTGGCAAATTCAGCAAATTACTGACAACAGATCAACAGCCCACAGTTGTTTTCAAGTTATTCGTCTGTGAGCCTCGTGGTCTGTTCCAATAAATCGCAGAACATCCCTCAATATCTGAGCAGCATCTACTGTATATGAGCGCCAGGTTGGGTCTGAACACAGTGAATCATGACAAGCAGCAGATATTTTCGTCTCATTCAGGGAAATCTCAGAGCCTTAAATCTTTCTCTCGCTCTGTTTAAGAGATTGTGTAACGGTTGTCTGTTCAAATCAATTTAGTCGAGTGTTATTTAACCAAAGCCATACCTTCTTTGAATTGTTTTTTTCTGTTCACTGTTTTTTCTTTTCACTTTGAATGTCAGTAGTTATGAATCCTGAGATTCCTCACCTCTAGTCTGATTACACCAATAAATTCTGTTTTGGTATCAAAATGTGATCCAGAGGCTTCATTTATCAAATACTGTAACTCAAGTGCATCTTCAAACACAAATATTAGTCCAACTGTAAAGTACCTCTTTCCACAGACGGATTGTGTTAACTCTCAATTTACAAAGACTCTGAACCATGGTCCCGCTGATGATCCATCTACGACTCCTGTGTGGAGTACAAATTATAAGTTTACATGCACGAAATCACTGTCTCCATATCATTCAAACTTCATATGATCAGAATTTAAAAAAGCTTATATTACAATTGTATTTTAAATCAGAAGTTCTCAGGTTTTCTCAGTTAGGGGCCCCTACAAAATAGAAAATATTCTGGGGACCCAAGGAATAGTTTTCACCTAACTTCTACTAAGTTATGTGAAAGAACAGCACAAGAGAAATGCGTGAGAAGGATATTTGATGTGTATCCGAAATATTTCCACCATAGACTGTATATATAAAGATGTCAACAGAGAACACCCATATATCACGATCATTTTCATGGATGAATTGAATCTGGACCTCCTGGAAATGTGCCACAGACCCCCACTGGAGAATCCCTGGTTAAAGTCGTGTTTCAGTGTTTACACAGTGACATCTGTGTTTTTCTCACTTTGGATCGACTGTTCACTCTGATGCAACTTCATCACTCATCCACACAGTGACGCTCCGAACACCGCAACACAACATCCAGGTTTCAGCTGCAGTACTGGTCTCGCACCAGCCAGTGGCGGTAACGCGACGCTGTTGTTTGCTAACTGCTATGAAACTCGCAGAGGAAGAAGAAGCCGAGCGTGAGTCTGTGCCGTGATTGGACAAAGTACCTCGTGACTGAAGTCGTCACACCCCGGAAGAATGACATGATTATTGTTGGCAGCAGCTCAGGTAAGTGGAGGCGCTGCGTGAAGACCAGTCTTTTATTTATAATCATTTCTTCACTTTATTCTTCTGTTCTCAGCAGGTTGGGTTTATTTGTACCAGCCGAAGAATCGCTAATGTTTTTCTACCGCCAGCTACAAGTACATCAAACTTAGTTAACTCCCTAGTAACATTGGCAACATCACGTTCATAAGTCATTGTTTAACAGTAGACTTGTGTTCGGCCTTTATGTATGAAGTGGACCGGACATTATTTAATTCCAGGATTTATTTGTGTATCTATTCTGCTGTTCTTGACACTTGTAGTATAGAATACGTGAAACCACCTGACTTCAGTGTCAATGAACACTTCCTGGTGTTTACATTGACGCTGGAGATCAGTGGTCGTTGATGAAGAGTTAAACACGACACAATGAGGGACTCCCTTCCGTCTGTTGATGTTACACACACACACACACACACACACTACCAGGCTGTTGCAAATACACTTCTACACAACACCCCCCTCAGCCTCCAGCGACTCCGATGGTCGGTGGCTCCATAACTAGAAGTGCGAGGGGTGGAGAGGCTCTCCGTTCCCCCGGTGTCAAAGCGCGTGAGATCGCAAACAAAGCTCCAGACGTGATCGAATCCCACCGTCCGCGCGAAATACGTCCCCCAATCTGAACTCCTAAAACGGGACTTTGTTTAAGATCCTCATCTCCGGACTCATTCCCACTTCCCTGGCTGTCCCCTGCCTGTGCTCGCGGTGTGCCTTTCGTGGACAATTTCAATATCTTCTAGAAACGGGTGGAACTTTGTGGTCCAGATGGTCTTCGCCGAACAGACCGGGAGCTCGGATGCTGTCCGCTAATTTGGCGCATGGACTCGTGTGCGCGAACACCCCACACGGAATTACCCCTCAACTGTAGAGACCGGAAATGATCGGCTCAACAGCGAACGATGTCTGTCAGGCCCCTGTCCCTGATCTGATTGGATCCACATCAAATATAGGTAACTTTTCTTCTAGACTTGGACCAAACACAGGTGAATCCGAAATACCCGTAATAATTACTGCTAGCTGCCAAAGTATCTTTGAAATACAACAATCTGGCTCCTGTCACGAAAATCACATCTCTGTTAATACACCCCCCTCAGCTCTCCTAAACGTGTCATGTCCCATAATCAGCATCATTCCTCTGATGCAATTCATAACCATTCAATCCAAGTACATCGACAACCTCTTTTACCCCCCCCCCCTCCTTTAGTTCTACTTCTGTAAAATGTAGTCTTTTAAATAACAGATCCCTAAATAATAAATAGTTATAATTAATAATTTGCACTTTTTTTTATCATCACTGAAACTTAGCTTCCCCAAGGACACTACAATCATTTAACCTCACTCAGGCAATACAGGAACCAACTCACTGAAAGGGTCACACTCTTGATCTCGTCCTTTTTAACGGTGTCAGCCTTAAGAACACAAAGCAGTTTCATTTAATGTGGTTTTATCCCTTTTACCTTTTACCATGCTGCTCCGGTTCGCCGCTGCGTTTTTAATCCTATGTCGGTTTGCTAGTTTTCTGATCTTTTTACTTCTGCCTCTTAATCCGCCTCTAATCCAAATTCTAACACAGAGGAGCTGGTCTCCCTTTGTAATCACACCTACCCTGACTAAATGAAACGACCCAGGCATTAAAAAGAGACTGCAGGAGAAAAGAAAGGAAATGGAAAAAGGCAGGTTGACATGTATTCTATGACATCTGGAAAGCTGCAATGATATCCTACCAAACAGCAGTTAAATATGCAAAGCATCCTTCTTTTCTAACTTGATTTAATCAATTACTCTCATAGATTCATCATCACCCATTGCCAGGAACCAGGAGACCTGTTTGACCAATGACTCACTTTCTAACCACAAATTAAAAAAGTAGTCATTCACACACTCTAGACTGGACTACTGTTACTCCCTCCTCTCTGGAATAGGCCAAAAGTCACTCTCCCGCCTCCACCTAGTTCAGAACGCAGCAGATCGGCTTTTCACTGGTCTTAAGAGGCAGCATCACATCACCCCGATCCTTGCTGCTCTTCATTTGCTCCCTGTCCATTTTAGAATTTATTTGAAGAATTCACTGATCACTTTTAAAGCACACCAGGGTCTGGCCCCAAGCTACATCACAGAATGACAGACCCCTAATGTGCCTGCATGCAGCCTTAGATCCTCAGGTGGAGCCCTGCTGGCTGTTCCAAAGTCGAGGTTGAAAACTAAAGGTGAGCGTGCTTTTGCCATCAGGGCCCCCACGGCTTTGGAACGGCCGACCTGAGGAGATAAGGCTCGTAGAGTCAGTGACTTCTTTTAAATCACTTAAAACCCACTTTTATAAACTTGCTTTCATGTAATCTTGTTTTTTTCACCTTTCATTTTATTTTTTCACTTATTTTTATTGTCATTTTACTGGGTTCAAGTTTTAATTTACATTCCTTGCTTTGTTTTCGACGCACGTTGTAAACTCTGTTGTATAAATAAAGTTAAAATTTGATATTTATTACATTACACCAGATAGTGACTGACAACACTTTAGTCTCTGAGCCTAAACTGTTTTCTTACAGAGTATCAGGAGAGCCAAACACTAAATCCACACTCCTCTGAAAAGAGAAGATGTTAAACATTTCATTTTCAAAGCTTTGAATATTGTTTTGTCTGCTGTAGCCAGACAGTGGTTATAACTTTATGATTTCAGACCATTGTTAAGGAGGCTCGTCGGCTTCTACTAGATTTGTGTGATTTTTAGGAAAAACATGGGACATTCTTGCCTCATATTTTCGACTTTGTTTTCATACTGCACCTTATTTTAGTGTCTCAGGGCTGCCAACAGTGTGTTTTCTTTTATTGGATCTTTGTACGACTCTGCTGTGATGACAAATTTATTGTCCCTCAGGGATTTATAAAGCAATATAGCTATTTCTCTCTCTCAGACACACACACATGCACATCTCTCTATAGTTGGAAGGACACTCATTACACAACTTATGCCAAACCTAAAACTAATTCTTACCATAAAACCAAGTCTGAACCTTCAAACAGCTCATTGAATTTGCGAGGACCGACCAAAATATTCTCACAATGATAGTATTCAACCAAAATTGGCCCCCATAACTATAGATACACACACACACACACACACACACACACACAC